CCTAACCACTTATATGCTTACCAACTGCAGAATGTGGCCCCGGCCGGCGCACTCCCCCCCCCTCCCCCCAACGTGCATGCCTTACCAAATGACAAGTGTACAATCGTGGATACACTACACGGAGCTGAGTCAGGGGGACTGAAATAGTTTGTCTGTAAACCCAGTACTGCACCACACTCACAACTGGGAGACTGATGTTTTAAGATGGCCCGCGCACCGGGTCAAGGTGACGCTCGGCACCAATAGATGGAGAACTGTTTAACAAAAAAAAAAAAAAAAAAAAAAAAAAAAGATGACCCGCTCACTGTATGTAGAACCCAGAAGGCATGCTTTCAAACGAGGATGTTGCTATGGAGGACCCTTCACAAGGAAAATGCTAAAAAGGAACCTCCACGATGCAGAGCATGCCTGCATCCTTGTGGCTACAACAGACGAGCAGGCAGGTGGAAGTGGCTGCGCAGGTCCTGCTGCGGCCGGTTGGGACACCCAGTGCCATTGTGCCCCTTTTTTTTTTTTCTTTTTTTTTTTTGAAGCCACTGTGCCACAATAAAAGAATTGTCAGGTGGAATTCATGGCTCTATTATGATGCCTATCAGGGTTAGGACCCTAAAGGTGGCCCTTGTTTCCTTACCCCCCTTTTTTTTTTTTTGACAAAATGCTCCAATCTATTTGTGGGGAGACCCCTGATCTAGCTAAGTCAGTATTTAAACCACCAGGACTTGGCCCAGCTGTTGGCAGCAGGATAAAAAAGAGTAGAAACGTTTCTAGTCGACGGATGAATTTGCGCTCTCCTGTAGTGGTGCGTATGGGTTTCCAAAAATTGTGGCTTGTATACTGGCACGAATTTCTGAAGTACTGGTGGTTTAAGAAAGGCAGATGGGTTACATGGGTAGTCACGGCATCTGCTGGCTCCCACTCTGCAGCCATCCAGCTATTACGAGTTTTCCTTGTAAGCACTGACAAAGCATTACCTCAAGCCCAGGAATTCAAAAGCCAGTATAGACCTTCGCCTCCACGACTCTTAGGGCCTCAGGGCGTCGTTAGACACTCCTTACGAGTTCCTTGAGCCACAAGGAGTTTTCCTTGTGGCTCATAAGGGAATTTTGTGGCGTCGTTCCACACATCGTTGGGGACGTCCCCCGAGGACGTTTCCTTGTGGCCTGCCCGCGGCCATTGTAATATGAAAATACGCGGCTGCGGGCAGGGGTGTCCGTGGTCCAGCGTCCGTTGTCCGTGTGGAGACGGCGTGGTCCAGCGACGTCCGGTGTGAAAGGGCATGAGGCAGGCCACGAAAAAAAAAGGGGGGGGACCTCTACGTTTGAAATTCAAACTTTGAGGTATGGCTGTGGTGACGACGACGACGCTCGGCTTGCGGCGCGTAGACGGTGCAGGGCTGAATCGGCCTTAGCGGCGGTGCCCCTTTCACCCACCTCCCGGTCAGTGTACATGCGTGCACCGGATGCGTCCATTGCCGTCGAGCTTCTCCTCCACGTTGTCCGGGCCGTCACATGCAGTCCCACCAGGGGGACGGCATCCACAGAAAGGTGGCGGCTTCTCGTACCTCTCCTCAAGGGGTCAGCAGGTTACGTCTCTGGGGTCCGAGGATCGAATGGCAGCGGAGAGACATCATCCCTGTGGAGGTGGTAGCGATGGAGGGCGGCAGAGAGGGCGGACGTGCACCGTCGACACCACTTGAGCGGGCAGCCGTGGCGGCGGCAATGTCAACTGTTGTTCTTCGGTGTCAGCAGGAGAGGGTGCTGGGACGAATGAATGAGCAGTTCTGCGCATGTAGAAGAAGGGCGCTTATGCAAGTTGCGGATGATGGCCCCGACTACGTGGCAACTTCAGAGGCTGTCATTGAGCTGTGCTACACGTTGGGTTGCGGCGTCATTCCACGAGCAACACCGAGGTGGTGGATCAAACGTAGGACAGGGGGAACATCGGAAGACGTTCGACAATGTGACGACGCCACGGATAACTACTTCAACGAGAAGCAGCACAGTGCCGAGGAGCAGCAGAGGGGCCACCAGAAGCAGAACAGCGACGTGGAGCAGCAGAGGGAGCGTGCGGTACTGGTCGGCCATGAACTGCACGGTGGAGAGGGCAGCAATGCCATGTCTGTTGTTGGACATCTAGCACACGACGGAGGAGAAGGCAAGAGTCTTGTCGGACGTGGAGCACGTGACGACATGTGCGGGAATACAACGCTCGTGCAGAAACCTCTTCCGTGGACGGACTGAAGGCGCCGCCGGGAAAAAATATTTTCCCGACCATTGTGGACTTTCCTCGAGCGCGGGAGACCACATGATGCTGGCTGAAAACGACGATGCCACCCGATGGAGGCCCACCACCAACAGTAGCCGTTGGGGACCGTTGGGGGACTACACAGGTGTTGGAGGGCGGCGATGTCCGTGCTAATGGCGTTGGACCACATCTGGACCACCCGAGAACCGAAACTCTTCGTCGACGCATGTCTTCGCCACTCCGTGAATCACAGTTCCTTGAGCTCCAAGGGACCTCACGAGGTCCCTTGGGGATAAGGAGATTTGGCTGAGGCCACAAGGACGCCACAAAAAATTTTCTTTGTGGCGTTTTCACATTTATTTTTCAATTTCGTCCCCAAGGACAGGTGGAACGAGCGCATCCTTGTGGATTTCACGTCCCCGAGGAGTGTCTAACGACGCCCTCACTACATTACACTCTGCAGTTTGTGAAGACGGGTCATCGCTCCACTATCTCTACAAATCTAGTAGAGAAATTACTCTGTATAGCTGTCAGAAAACAGGAAGGAGGACACTACACAGTGGCAGAGTCTTTAGCCTGCAAACGCGGTTTCTTGTACAGTCCTCCTCGTAGGTCTACGATGAGCACCCGAATTTGGAGAGTGGACCTGGAGTCTGGGCAGATAAGCAGGACTTTCAGCTGTCCTTTTGTCCTCTTGAGAGTCGGAGAGTGCAGCTGTGTACAGCAAGTGGAGCAATGATGCAACTTCAGACGTTTTAGACGGTCTGACAGCTATACATGCACTCTACAAAATTTATAGTGAAGCGAGGCCCGCACTCTTTCTCCAGTCTGAGATAGGGCCTCACTCCTTTACTCACCAAATGCGCAACATGAGAATGAATTTTCCGCCAGAACATGGAAAGATACTGTATACACCGGCATATTTTTTGCCTTTTATGCATTCTTTTGTGGCCTGATGAAACACGGATCAGGTATTAAGCTGATCAGAGAAGATAATACACTTGATCTTAGCCAAAAGGCCGACGAAGGTATGGTAAGCCACGCAAGTGGCCTTGAGGAGGTTTTGGGTTCAATCCCCATTGGCCTCATGTACCATCCTGGGCAAGCTTGGTGCCTGCCACCTAGAGCTTGGCGCCCCCCACCTAGAGCTTGGCGCCTGCCACCTAGAGATAGGCTGTTGGTCCCCCCGAGAAGCATTGAGCAGAGACTGCTGAAGTTCGTAGGGTGAGGGGACCGGAGGGGAAGCACAGCGCCTGAACACCTTTTGTTTGTTCTTTGACGTGCCTGTTTTTCGTTTGTTTTTGTTTTTCTTCTCTTTTGTTCTGCGCGAGATGGCAGGTTGTTCTCGTTTTCACGTTTGGCAATGTGGGTGTGGAGAACGCTATCCAAGTCATCCAGGGTTACATTACTACTGCTCCGCAGACCCTGGCACCCCCAGCAGTTTTCCTGTACGGTGTTGCCATCTCTGATCCTGTGGCCTTGCAGAACCTTTCCGACATCGCCTACAATGTTTCGGGCTTGGCAAGAAACGTTGGAACTGGAGATTATCTGTTGGGCATCTACTCCTACTTTGACTACCTGTCCAGGTTTTACGCATACGAGAACGGGACAGAGCCCCGCTGGGCCAGGCGCTATGAGGATGCATTCGATATGGGGAACATAACGACGTTGGTGATGCCAGGTACGCAGCACAGTCTGAAATTCCTTTTTAAAAAAAAACAAATCCACTTTATATTGCAAAGAACAGTAGCACTGTAGCACAATCGTTTTCGTTTTTTTCCCCCACCTCTCCCTACCTACCTACCACTACTCATAAGCCTATACAGGGGACCCCTGCAAGCATAGATACCCCTCACAATCAAGGGGATGCATGTTGCCCCTGCCCTAATAGGCGGTGGTCAGGACCGCCGGGGGGTGGGGGGCACTGGGGCGGCTGACCCAAAGAACGAGCATTTTGCCAGTAGCTGACAAGCTGTGCCTCCCATCTACTTCCCCCACCCTTGTCGAGTAGCAGCAGTGTCTATGGTCAGCACTCACACACCATACACGACCCCGCACACATACACCCCCATGATGGCCAAAGACCCTGCCAATACCAACCTGGGGGAGCAAGCCAACGATCTGATTGTGTGTTTGGTACCTACTTGAGGCTAGTACTTCTTTTTCTTTTTTTTCCAAGATTTGGTCCATTTGGAATTTTGGACTCTTTCATGACTTCCGTGTGTTTGGTACCTACTTCGGTCAGTTGGTTTGTCTGTATTCATTAGCAAAATATAATAAATCAAAAAAAGAAGGGAATTTTTGTCAAATACCCCAGAAAGTTCACATCTATCATATATGCTAAAATACCCCCAAAAGATGTGGGTAGAGCGGAATACCCTTTTGAAAAAATTCAAAAGTTTGTGAAATGCCCTTTTGGATTTAATGTTTGCGTTCTACCCCTGTCACAGGGCTGCCCAAGTTTTGGTGTTATGCCCCTCTGAGTTTGCAGCCTGTCAGGGGTGCGTTTTATACCCCTGTGTCAATTCCGTCGTCATTCATTCTTAGACTACCGGTCATCCGTTCAGGTCCAAACGGTAGTTGGAAGGGTGGTGAATTTGCTGGGGGGACAATTCATGGGTAATGGACAGTTGTTGAATTTGCTGGGGGAACAATTCATGGAGAATGGACAGTTGTTGCTTGCGGAGGACCGGTAGTTGCCAGTAGGAGGCCAAGCAGGCCGCAGTCCCTCAGTTGAACATTTCGAAATCGAAACGGCGTGGGTCCACTTTTCTAGAATAGAAGGGCACTTTGAATAGACCGTGTATGTATTGTTTTCAAATAGACCGCACACCTGTTGTACACAAAAAGTTCATTTTCTTCATC